TTATCCATATTCCGTACATGATGGATATCAATAATAGCCATCCCAGGCTTGTTGTTTTCTGTAATATTTAGCTGTTGACATTCATGTGATCATGCTTTTAATTTGATTTGATTAATATAGAAACTATTGTTTGCATTTCTGATTTTTTTTTTTGGATACAGGTCTGAAGCTCATTACTGTGGATCGCCCTTTTGCTGAGAAGCACTATGCAGATTTATCTGCTAAGCCCTTCTTTAACGGGCTTGTTGAGTACATTATATCTGGCCCTGTTGTTGCAATGGTTTGGGAGGGTAAGAATGTAGTCACTACCGGTAGGAAGATCATTGGTGCTACCAACCCTGCAGAATCTGCTCCCGGTACCATCCGTGGTGATTATGCCATAGACATTGGCAGGTGAGCTAGCTTACTCATAATGATTTGTTGTATTTTCGAATTATTTGCTCATGTCAAAAACATGTTCTATGTCAGTTCTTATTGAAATTAATACTTTTTTCCTTAATGTTGTTCTTCAAAGACAGAGGACTCTTTGATTTCATCAGACACCTATGTTTCTTTCGTGAATGGAATGTATGGTACAACACTAGGAACAAAGGACAAGATTTTACCTAATCTTTCTTCTTAATCATATCGGTGTTGTATATTTCAGCATGCAACAAAAGATCATTAATGCCCCTATCAAGTGAAACCAAGATACCTTGGAAAATTCTCAATGCATAACACATTACGGCTTTCTTATTTTGGATTTGGATGTGGATGTGATTTACTGTTTCAATAACTTAAGGAAAGTATTGGCAAATTGCTGTATTTTTGGGTGTTCTAAACTCACCCTAAAACATTTTGGACATTTAAAGATGTGGAAAAAATATCGACTTATTTACTGAAATAGAACATCTTCGAACTTCTCTGCTCTTGTTCCTCGTTGCTAAAACTGAAAAGAGCCTTACAATAGAGAAATAAGGCACATTTTTTTTATTTTTTGGTTGTAATTGCAGGAATGTCATTCACGGCAGTGATGCAGTAGAGAGTGCAAGGAAAGAGATTGCTCTATGGTTTCCTGAAGGAATAGCTGAATGGAGGAGCAGCCTTCACCCCTGGATCTACGAGTAAATTTCTTTCTTGAGTTGAGCTAGCAACTCCATGTATGACTCATTTTTTATGATTATAGTGGCTGAAAGTTACTATCTCCATCATAATTTGTGCTTTTAGACATGTTTTAAGAATGATATGGATTGGCTATTGAGAATGCTTTCTATCACAGTGCAAAATTAAACCGTCTTTCTTAAGTATGATTTATGTCCAAGATCAGGTTTTATATGCAGTACTGGATATGGCCATGATTGAGCAATGTTTTGGCTTATATTTCTTCTTTAATGGTATCCAATGCTCTCTAATCCCATCATTGCCAAACATACCAAAATGGGTTTCGATTATCTTTAGAGTCAAGTCCTGATGGCATCTACTTACCATGTTACTGTCTCAAGTCTGCGAACGAGTTTAGACCTCCTATCAATTTTGAGGTGGACATAGTTCATCATCCAAAAAAATGATGTCGAAAATGAAATGTTTGCACTTCACTGAAATTTTGACACGTTACTACAATTTTTAAGATGACAATTTTAATGGTGGGACAGCCAAGCTTGGCCAGTCTCGTCCTTGAACCTTGTGGATGTTGGTGAGCCGTGAGCAGTCGAGTAAAACATTTACTCTACTACAGTTTTTATTTCTCTTAATTGCTGCTACTGATTCTTGAAGCCTCTAAACTTTGCCAAGTAGAACGTTTTGAATGTTAATCTCGTAATACTGGCAATCAGGGGCGGACCTTGGAAGAGGGAGGGGGTTGGGGGTTATAGGGTCAATTGACCCTCTAGATTTTGGGGGGAAGAAAAATTTTGTTGAGCTTTTTTTTTTTCTAGCTTTTTTTTATTAAAAGATATCATATAAATTTTATTTTTGATCCCCTAACCCACGTCGTCCGAGTCTGCCCCTACTGACAATTCAATACCCTCAGGGACGAACGTACAAGTCATGTTATGGTAATGGATTCTTAGGGTACGTTTGGTACACCGGTCATATCAGACTTCGAGGATTGAATATAATTAATGAAAAGCATTTTTTAAAGTTTTCATTAATTATATCTTATTTAACATATAAAATACTGATAAGAGTTGTGATGGATCTCTTTAAGACTCAATGATTGTATCTCGACCAGATACATTCTTTGCTACCCCCATGTAGATTGGGAACACTCAATTTTTCAAATTGCACGAAACTAAGAAAATGAAATATCACATAAAAAATTAATTTTATTTTTAAAGATTTTATAAGCAAAATTTAATTAAGAGATGATTTATTTAATAATCAAGATCCCATCTTATATGCAAATAATATTCATTTTCATAAATTGATAGCAATAAAGCTTGAATAGAAATTGAACCATAGCATATATCTCCGAGGAACAAGTTACAAGCAAACGGTTTTTGGTGGCTCATAAGTCATTATCTGCTGCGTACCACATACAATTAGAAGCACTACTCTGCCAACCCAAGTTAAATGCATAGTTTCATTGCATGTGTAAATTACTCCTATTTTCTGTCCGATGGCTTTAGGACAGTTCCATTCAACAATCCAGTCTCAGAATTGGTCTAACAAGTAAGCTCGTATTTCCAATCTTTTCCACATTAAAAGATTTAGAATAAGGACCCGAGCCAATCTCAATCATCAGGAGGAGCCTAAGCCCGGTGGAAAAGAAGAAGAATTACACGAGCTAACAACCCACAATTCCAAGTTTCAAAGCAAGGCAAATTCTGGGCATTTGCTCCACTATTACAAAGTCATCTCCTGGAAAAGCAACTCAAAGACACAAGCTACAGACACTACCGACTAAGAAGGCTGTACGAGGGCAAGTCTTCAAGGCATGTAATGTGTTGCAGAAGCTCCCTTTCCAGCTGACGCTGAGTAGCTTTCATCACAGTCTACTAACATGAAAAGAGAATTAAACAATCTAATAAAGGTTATTAGGGTGTATCCATAAATAATTAGCCAAGCGAAGATTAACGTTTCAAAAGGATCGATTGCTAAAGGAATTAGTCTAAATACAACATGAACTTTCATTAGTAAATTAGTAATCTCTGGATAATTTAACGTGAAAATTTCCCACTTGAGCGCAAAAGGACTTAGTGAGCTGAGTTTTGCTTTTCCATGATGTGACCCATTAAGTTGATAGCAATGTCCAACGAAGTATGGTAACATGCTTCGAGGCAGTTTTTCTGGCAACTAAAACCTCTAAATTTGCAATCAGAAATTTCTGAAGAGAAAGATGTGGAACAGACTTGACAGAGAGTATATCGAATTCTGAGTTCTATATTCGAGAAAATCTAACAATTGGAGAGCGCTTACATTGAAGTCCATGTAAGAAGCATGCATGGCAAGCCATTGGTGGTCCATTAATTTGAATGTGATACAGTATAGAAGGTCAAATGCAGATTCATTTTCTGCAGGCAAAATACAAGAAAGGTTAACTATGAATCATAAAAATGATCACGCAACGAACAAAAAGAAAATGCTTGTGGTTCCATCATTCATGTTTTAAATCATTACATGGGGACTCGTACTGGCTTAGACATGCTACATTTTATGGTACTGATCATTGTTATGTGAAAAGTACAAAATGTTTGAAATGAAGAATGTAACATTGAGAACGTAAAAATGGATGTGCAGTCATTCTATAACAGACTAGATAAGAAATGATAATATGCTCCAAAAGAGTATGTGAATTAAGCGGTTGAGAACTTAGGTGGTTGGGATGTATCTTGCATAGACCTAAAGAAGTTCTCAATTATAAGAGTGATTTGATCTCAATAGAATAGATTAGAGAGGGACGCATGAATTAAAACTAATATGGCCTTTTGTGATTGCTAAGAATATAGTTGAATACGGTCTTCAAATACACGCAATCGCGAAAAAGATTCATGTAACCAACTTCAAATTTGGAGGAACAAGATTTAGTTGGTCGTTGTCTAGGCTTAAATCTTTCATCCAGGGATTGATGTCTTTCAAGAACCAGCAGAAACTTTGTGGTTGAATCATCTTTTAACTAGACCATGTGACCAGAAGAATATCATATTAATATCACATGCATTTTTTCCATGAAAAATGAATGCTTAGAAGCTTTAATTTGAAAAGGCCAGAATTGAAAACATTAGTTACCAAGCATTACCTGCAAGAAACTTCAAGAAGGTTGCTCCCACCACCGTCCGGGGCTTTACTGCAGAGATTAGGCAAAACACAAATGTTTAAAAACTCTTTACAACTTCACTTGATCATTGTTTGTTAATCATTCAAGCAAGAAAGTGATAGAGAAGCCACCTGCTTCTAGATCAAGCATCTGAATAAGCATGAATGTGATGTTGACACCAGCAACAGCAAATGGGTATTCCCACATGGCCCTATCACCTTCCTGCTTTCGAAGAAGATCTTGAAAAGATTTCTGTAAAAAGATCCATGTGTCCCAGGAACAAACGAGACTTATTTTAATTAAGTTCCATTTTTGTAGTAATTGAGACAACAATGTTCATAAGCAGGCACCAAACATATAAAATAAAGACAAACAAAAACTAGGTTATATACTCCTATCATGACCATAAAAGTGGGGGATTTGATCTGTGTGTTTGCGAATAACATCGTGTGCGTGCGTGTGAGAGAGGGAGGGATGGAGAACTGGTCATACCTGAAAGTTCCTAGCAAAGAATAATAAATTTTCCAATGATATAAAACCACCGCCCCTGACAGAGGAACTTATTAGTAAAGGTACAAAGAAATTACAGGAAACAAAATTTTATCTACTGAAAACGAGAGAAACCTGAAGAATTCAAGAAAATAATATGTACCTGAAGTCTGTAGACGGATCTTTTCCCTGCCAACCCATTTCCTTCCACTGCTCAGATATCAAACCAGAAAGTTCCTCCCCAGGAAAGGCAGCATCCCACAGTGCCCTCAAAGCTTCCTATAACAACAGAGCAAATATTAAATTAGAGAGAAAGGCAGTCATCAAAGCAGAGTTTCAATCCTAACCAAATGGATGGCCTCCAGTTTGAAGGCTCAAATTAACTGTATCAACAGCATGAAGAAAATATTTTTGAGTTTTGAATAAGATCTCAGAAGTTAGTGAGATGTAAACAGGACGATACCTGATGTTCGAGAATTGAACAATCATAAGCAACATCTATCCGCTGCTGCAGCCTCTTTAGACATTCCTCCTAATACATGAGGTGAAATAGTGCATCAAAATCCAATGGTTACTCACTCACCAGCAATAGTTAATTAAACAAAAGAAAAATGAAAGGATGAGAAACGGAGGCCATATCATCATCTGGATATCTGCTTCTGCTGTTCAACTACAAACTCATGAAGCACAAACGAATAAGTGATAGACATGCCCATCTATTAATGTAAATATATCCTCATTTAACAGTAAAAGTTTTCTAGATCAGTTTTGAGATTAGCTTGAGGGCGCACCACATTTTTATGAATTTTAATTAATTCGGTAAAGAAAGCCAAACAAAGATTCAGGCCAAACAATAATGTTAGTAGTAACCAACTTTAATATAAAATAACCAGACAGACAGTTTTAATGTAAATTCTTCTCCCAAATATTAGTGTTTGTTTGTTGCCTTAACCATTAGTTACATAGGCAATGACTTAAAAGATTGATGCAAGCTAACTTATTACTCCCTCTGTCCCATTTATTTAAGCTTTCCTTATTTTCTTGTCCCAATTATATAGTCTTATTTCTTTGTTGAGCTTGTTTTGTTTTGTTCATTTACTAATATACCATTATTTAATTTGTCTAGTTATAATCAATTTTTCCACATAATCTTGAAATTGTCCAAATATAAATAAGGGTAAACCAGGAAATTTATTTGCAAAAATTGCTTTTTCAATAACATTAAACAAGATTTCTTAATCCGTGTGAAAAATGAAACAAGCCTATATAAATGGGACGGCGGGAGTAATTAACACAAAGCCAACTAGATAATTATCTAAGACGGTAAATGGGGGAATCCAGATTATGTGAAACCAATTTACAGAGTATCAATCCACCAGACTTTTACCTCGGCAGGAGTCAAATCGAACGATGAGTGAGCATCACTCTCTCCTCTTTGAACACAAACACATGAAAGGCCTTTGCCAAGCCATGCAGCTGATCCTGCCACAACCTCTGCTGTAAAGAAAGAAAACAATTGGCAAAGGAAAATCAGCATTCAGATATTTGGAGAGTGATATATGATGAAACATACTCTAGGGTGCAAAAAAAATAAAAAAAATGTTCAGCATAAAAAAGAAAAAAAAAAGTCAGCTTTCCCCAATTAAGTACATAACTTATTGATGTCAAAACAAGCACACAGACTTCATCGTTACTTTTATGAGTTCTGTAAGATCAAACAGAAGCTCTCTATAGCAAGATCCATTCGAAGAGGAAATAATACATCAACCAAAAAAAAAACATTATTCAGCTTACTCACATACGCTTTTTGGACCTCTGGCCAAATTTATTCAATAAATAGCATGCAAATAAATTTCCCCAGGGGGGGGGGGGGGGTCCTCATTTGGGAGAAAATCATTTAATTTCTGTGCCGTGCACTAGAAAGTATAGTTAACTTTACCAACATCAAAGCAATTAAGACATAATGCAGCTCTAAGAAATCTTAGCCTACTTTTTAGAGGTGGACTGCCTTGGTAACTTCATCATTAAGCGGTGAACCAGTAAACCAGTCAAATTTTGTTGTCTTCAAGTTTTTATACACACATGTGCTTGTTTGGTACAGATTGTAAGCAAATTAAAATCAATTTGAAGAAAATAAAGCAACAATCACATCTGTACTTCAGAGTGCTTCAAACTTGCGAAGTAAACAATACAACTAGACTTCTCCCAAAAATATGTTGCAGAGCAAAGTCAAGATAGTTGAAATATGTTTTACCATCAGTAATTCAAATTAAGCAATATAACTATTGTACCATTACGATTGAAAAGCCTTGGCAATAAATGGAAGACAATAGTTCAGCAAATAAAACTAGAGCATGTTAGGCTGGTTGTATTTAAAAGTTATATTCTAGAAAGTAGGTTAAGATTTACTTTTTAGAGAAGCAAGTTGTACTAGTAGTTATAAAAATGGAACTCTGAAAATAGTTTGTCTTACTTTTAGGCACGCCAAACATCCTCATATAACAATATTTATTTAATCATCAACGGTCTGCTCAGTTCACAAAGCTCATAGGACTATATAACAATATTAATTGTAATCTTCAAAGTTCTGCCCAGTTTACAATTTACAAAATTGAAATGTAGAAATATAAAAATTCAAGAAAGATTCAGAAACAGCAAACACAGACTTAGTCTAAAATTTCAAAAGAGTAGCAATAAAACCACAGCAAAAGTAGTTCATACATTACGGGAAACGGCAAACAGAAACGAACACATTATTGCAACGGTTGTGCCACATGTACATCGTAATTTTAGATATGTTTACAACTGATAATGTGGTAAGATATCTAAAAAAATAAAACTTCCACACATTTTTTTCTGCCATCTCACCAATCTGAATCTGTAAATGATTGTGTACAGAAAGCATTATTCTAATTTCAAATAGGCATCAATTGGCCTAATTTCAATTAACAGATCCAGAACCCCTCCAATTACATTAACTCCACGCCTATACGTACATCTACAATACACAATATGCATGTGCGTGTATCAAGAGACACAGAGATGAAAATGAGAATGAAGAATGAAAGATAGATATAATTGTAGAAATATAAGAAAATTAAACATACCAGAACTAGAGTGGTAACTATTTCCTCGATCGAGACCTGACGAAATCCTCCTCACAGCAACAAATGATCCTCCTCCTCTGTCATCCATTCCTCTATTTCCCTTTCTTCAAATATTGATTTTCCAAAAATTCCGGCTTCTACTCTGCAGCTACTTCTTCAAATTTCTCATTTCACTATTATGGCGTCGAACTTTGAATTAATCGTTGAACCTAACACAAAATGCAAGTCGATAGAAAGGTTTCGAGATCCAATGAATTAACATAAACACCATAAAAGCATCCTGATAACTACTCTCTATAATTTCAATACGTGAGGATTAATTATAGTTATGAGAATCGAATCTAGCATCATATATTGATTGGTATTTGTAACGTTGTGTGCATAGACAATAGAATGGAGGGGCGGCTTTTCTCTCTCTAGATTTCTGCTCTTGTTTCTCTCTCTCAAAATGGAGTTTTCTGTTTCAGCTGGTATCTATCTTTCTGTTGAGTGTGGGTGGCCTTCCGCTGAGGATAAAATCCACGTGGAATAAAGAAAAATATAGATTAATTTATAAAAGTTTTGGACTATTTATCTCAACAAGAACGACCTTTTAAGATGGAACCTGAAATCATAACATGATATTAGGATCTACTTTCGATCCGACTAAGACTAAGAAATGAATATTTGGATTTCAAGATTGGTCTACTAAAACGAGTTATTTCATCTTGCGGGTATATTAAAAGATAAAATCTCACATCAAATAAAGAAGAAAATATAGACCAATTTTATAAAGAGTTTGGACTATTCTTCTTAACAATGTTGACTTTTTAAGATGGAACCTCAAATCTTAATACTAAAGATGTTAACTGGTCAAATCAAGTCGGTTCGTGAGTCAAAATTCAAGGCTTGGGTTCCCCTCTGAGTAAGATGGTGTTAGCTTTTTCGGGCTCTAGAGGAGTTGAGATTTTGTTCGACCAAAAAATCTAGGCAATAGAGATGTCAACTAGTCAAGTCGAATCGGTTCGTGAGTCAAAATTCAAGGCTTGGGTTCGACTCTGAGTAAAATGGTGTTAGCTTTTTTGGGCGCTAGCATAGTTGAGCTTTTGTTCGACCAAAAAATCTAGGCACTAGAGATGTCAACTAGTCAAATTGAGTCGGTTCGTGAGTCAAAATTCAAGGCTTGGGTTCGACTCTGAGTAAAATGGTGTTAGCTTCTTCTGGCTCTAGTAGAGTTGAGCTTTTGTTCGGCAAAAAAATCTAGGCTCGATTTGAGTAGACTCCATCGTGTTTTTATTTTATTTACTTTATTTTTATAATAATATTTTGATGCATGTAATAGGTAGCAACATGCTGCCATGCTGCC